TTTATTGGGTGGACCTGTTTTTGTAGTGCATGTGGCGATACTTGTATTTATTGTGTTTCTTTGTTCTTGAGGTTGTATTTGTGTGGTTGCTTGGGTTATTCGTGGAGATATTACAGTATTTTGTGAGCTAGTAGTGCTGTTTAGGTTTTTGCGTTTGGGTTGTATACGAGTGAGTTGTGATAACGTGGTGTGTTTCTGTGAAGAATGAGTTTTATGTTTTTTAACTGTGCTAGGGCGTGTAACTTTATTTGGTGGACCTGTCTTTGTAGTGCATGTTGCGTTACTTGTATTTCTTGTGTTTCTTTGTTCTTGAGGTTGTATTTGTGTGGTTGCTTGGGTTATTGGTGGAGACGTTACAGTACTTTGTGAGCCTGTAGTGCTGTTAAGGTTGCTGCGTTTGCGTTGAGTACGAGTGGGTTGTGATAACGTGGTGTGTTTCTGAGAAGAAAGAGTATTGTGTTTTTTAGCTGTGCTAGGCCGTGTAACTTTATTGGGTGAGGGCGCGTCTTTGTAGTGCATGTTGCGTTTGTTTGTTCAGGAAGTTGTGTTTGTGTGGTTGGTTGAGTTAAGGGTGGAGATATTACAGTATGTTGTGTGTCATGTTGTGAGTCTAAAGTGCTGTTTAGGCTTTTGCGTTTGGGTTGAATACTAATGGGTCGTGATAATGTGGTTTGCTTCAGAGGTGAATCTCTGATTGTAGTACCTATATATTGTATCATTTGTTGTACTTGTTTGCTCGGTAAGTTGTATTTGTGTGTTTGTTTGGGTTAGAGGTTGAGATATTACAGTATGTTGTGTACCGTGTTGTGAGCGAGTACTGTTGTTTACATGTATACATTGTGTGTGTGTTATTATTATTATTATTATTATTATTATTATTATTATTATTATTATTAAAGTAGATGAGTTTAAACAATGTTTCACAACTTTTGGATACCCCCTCGTAAATAGACCTTTACGCGAGCTTTCGAGAGGTACTGATCAATTCATGGAAAATGCTCTAAAGTTGCTCGCCTTAACTTGGGTATAAATTACTCTCACGAGACCTAAAAACATAATATGTACAAAAATCGTAGATACATGCGCGTTTACGATGTTTAATGTTTGCAACAACGTTTTTTGCAGTGAATCCGCCCCACTTTTTATTTAAAATGCAGGTAGTCCGGTCACCACCAAAGACTCCTCCGAAGAATAGTTTTAGTTCTGTTGCTTCTGATGTAGGCAACGCTACGTCCTGCGTGGCAAAAACTTTTAATTAAAACGTCATTAAGACATCGGGCTTCTAAAAGGATTCATTCGGCCACCTAGACTTTTCCGAAAGATAGCCCTAGTCCGTTGCTTCTGAAATATGCAGCTTGTTCGTCAAACATTCAACAAGTCATGTTGTTTTGAGTCAATTAGTTAGTTCTGTTGCTTTTTATGTAGGGAACGCTATTTTCGGTTTCATATTTAAAAGCAATCCATTCTATTCATAAAAATTACACCTGCCTTTATCCTGAAGATAGTCGGCGTTTTCATGTAATCGAAGAGATTATGAATACACCGCGCATCCTGACCGCACACGGTATTCTAGATTTCATAGGATTTCTAAATATTGAATCAAGAATTTCTTCATTTCTTTTGTATATCAATTAACTGGAAGTGATTTCCAGTAACTCCTTTGAAGAAAAGAAATTAATGTGAGGTTTTAGCGATGGCCTCGAAATATTTCCTGTGCTATCGTGAACTTGTTTCAAACAAGTTTTTCCAACTCAGCAAGAGTACAGAGGAAAAACATTTTGGTAGATTATTAAATGTGCTAAAGATGCTGTTTATCTCACATATGCCAGCAACCGGATAATGAACATATAATTTCAATCTATTGACCTGCTATTTGGGATAAATAAATAAACGATACGTTCTACATATTGTTTGTTTGTTGGGATGAAGAAACAAATTCGATAATGCATGTACATTGTCCTACTTTACTGGGATTTGTATTTTAGCTCCAGCAAATGTGTTGAATTCTTGAAATGAAGTAAAGAAACTAATAGCAGTTCTATCATGCGCTCTGTTGAAAACGAAACAATAATAAATATAACAAATTTAAAGATTCACAAACACTGATCAAATCATACAGAAAAAATGTTGGAAGGTAAAAAAATCAAAGTGTACCTCATTCCGTTCATTGGATGTTGAGACAAAAAAGTGATGCGATAGTATTAGCTGGAAAAGCAACACGAACGGCGGTAGAAACACATCGATAAATTTACCTTAGCTATTGATATGGTGAATGAAGAACACTTACTTCCCGCATATCTTGCACGGATAATCTTCGGAAGAATCTGAGTGGCACATGGTAGGAGTTGTGGAAGTTCGTCTTTCTAACACTGTCGACGGCGTCGGTGAATTTCTAACAGTACCACCATGTATTCTAATATGGCCGTTAAGTGCCGCTTTGGAATTAAAACTCTGCAATATTTTAAAGGTAGTGTAATAAAAATAAAAGCAGTTCAAATAATCTTACAGCTGAGCAATCGGGAAATTCACATATAAAATTTTTATGTTCTTGAAAGGGAATAGGCGACTCCGCGTCGGCAATCTAAAATATCGAATATAAACCAAAACGAATGCAAACTCGCAAATACTTACGCCTAATAATTTAACATCCGCATGTGGTTTCTCCTCTGAATCTGACTCAAATCCTTTCGAATATGAGCGTTTAGATTCTCTAGAAACTTTCATCCGCCTGTACTCATCGGCGCATACTTTTTTCCAAATATAATAAAACTGCACGCATTGTTTTGTCGATTTTGAGCCAATCTAAAAATAATCACACGTTCAAATGGGACAAGACGAACACAAATCTTACTCACATCGCGCGATATACTAAAGAAATCCTTTCCATATCTAAAAAGAGCGTGTTGAAATGCCTCTATTTCTTCCGACGACCATCGATCGCTATCACTGTACTGATAATGTAAAAGAGGATGATCATGAGGAAGCGCGGGATAGGGGTGCATTAACTTTAGCATTGCTTCCTGTAATGAAATAAGGTTAGCAATGGTCGACCATTGGTGAAATGCAACTTACGTGAATATTCCCTCCACACATGTGCAAAAGGTGCATTGCGTACTCCTTATTTCGTCCTCCACCGGGAACTGCTGCGCAGCACGCGAAATCCAAGTACATGTCAACTGCACATATTCAATACTAGCAAAAACCTGTTGACTGAACCAGCGTGTGGCTCAAACAACAAGCCCTTTTACTTAACACTAAACTGAAGAAGATTATATTGAACAATTCCTTACCTTCGTTGTCCGAAAGAGTACAAGACGGGTTCCACAACAGATACTCTCGGTTGGGTTCCAGATCTACTCTAGATAACCCTTTTCTGCAAGGCGGTGGATGGCATTGAAATTGAGAGCCAATATTAATATGAGGTGTTGAATCTGACTCGGGAATTGACTCATTATTCCACACGTTGTAAGCGTCCTCTCTGTTTTCTGCAAGAGGGATTACGTGGCTCACGCCAACAGCTACTGCGAACTTACCTTTCTTTAAGCTGCAATATAATCCGGAACCTGATCTAGTTGGATTGAGTAATGGTGGAGGCGTATAAGTCGATGATCCGTGAGGCCTACTTCTAGTTGCGCGTAATCTGGATTGATAAAGCACGGGAAGTTGTAAGGGTTCCGAACGTGGCCGTTTCCTTGATTGCCTTATAGGACTCGCAGGTACACTATGTAGTTAAAACGATATACTGGGGCACCGTAAAAGACTTATGTACTTACATGTTGGGACTGATAAACACATCGGTACCATCTTGTTTAAACGTTTCTCTTTGCCCGGCAAATTTTATTGGAAGGTTGGTGTGCGTTTGTGTAACCTTCGGTATCCTTTCTCCGTTTTTTAATTGTATATCCTTGTTTAAAAAATTTTGTGCGTGTAGTAATGAAGCACCAGTTACGACTATATTTTTTGTTTGTAGCGCATTACCATTTGTTTGTACCAGTTTTAGTTCGCCATTACTCTCGACCAAAATTCCGGTAAAATTTGTGTCGATTAATCCGTTACTACTTATCACTTTTAAAGGAAGGCCATTGAATTCAAACTTTTTTTTAGTGTCTTTTGGACTGCTTGACAGTAGGGGATCGTCCGAGTTTGGCATCATTTGCGATTGAAAGGAGTAATGTGGCGATAGTGGAAACGTAACGTTGCTAGGGGACGGAGTGTACGTGGTTGAAGGGTGAGGAGAAGATACCGATGATGCTGGGATGTTGGATAATGGCGAAGCGACAGGTGTAAGGCCGACGGAAAGTGGTGACTGTGGCGTTGGTGAGTTGGTGAGCGGGTAAATATCGTCGGTTGATATGCTTTCTCCAGGCAGGACTTCTTCTAAAGCCTCTTCCACGGCTGCCGAACTAGACATTGTCGAAGTAAAAAATGCCGCCGATAAAGGGGAAGATGCTTGCGGAGGTTCATCTAGTTCCCGTCCGCCGACTTGCGTGAAATCGTTTTGTTTGGGCGAGACCATGGGAAGTATCGTGTTTTGTCCAAAGCAAGGACTTCGGCCTTCGTGACTGGCGGGCGGAGTTGGATATGCAAACCCGGGCGAATCGTGTCTAATTAGAGGGGATTGTAGGGGAGATTGAGCAGTAAGGGACGTATGTGGAGATTCCGTGTATTGAGCGGGAGATTGGGTTTGATAACCGGGGGATGGAATGTCCAGATTTGTGGCAGAATGAAATGTGCTGAATTCTGCCAAGCTTTCGGGCAAAGGAGAGTCGAGCACCGCCTGTAAGTCTTGATTGACCGAGTGATTAGATTGGTATGATGGTGATTGAACAGTCTCCTGAAGACTTGCGGTCACGCTGGCGTAGTCTTCTAGAGAGGCAATGTCGTGCAGTTGATCCTCACTTTGTTCATGCAGGAGGGAATCGGTTCGGAATTGAATCGAAGTAAGGTGTTGTGCGTCGACACTTTGTAATAACATTGTGTCTTGCACTTGAGTGAACACTTCGTCTTGTAAGCTTTGCGAGAAATATCCCGAGCTATCTTCAGATTGATATGTAACACCGGTGAGAGTCAGTGATTCTCCGGTTTGTAATTGTATTACTTGCTGGGTAGGTTGCCCGGGATCGGATGTAGTTCTTTTTACCGCAACCTTTCCCTTTTTCAAAATGAGGTCAGCTAATGCTTCCGCTTCTTGCTGCGTGTTGGGCTGTTTCGGTATTGTAAACGCGTCGGCATCCGAGTGTCTTCGTCCTTTTTCGGTTGGTTGTTGTGGAGGCGCAGGTACGACAAATGAGGTGATTTTTGAATCCAAGTCGCTGGAATTATTTGAGGAATGCACAGTTAGAGGGAAAAGCGGTGGCGCCCCACTCCGCGTTGTGTCTTCGCCGTTGGTTGGCGGAGGCGGATTGGTGCTGCGCTTGTTTATAATTTTTTCTTCTATTAGCGCCCGTACACTTACACTTGCTGTTTGCAGTGGAGGTCCACTTGGATCCTTCTTCTCACATTTCTTATTTTCGGCATCCTGCAGGATTACATGTACAACGAATAGAGATTAAATGCGCTCACCTTTTTAAAATATCCACCATGTAGTCTCATGTGGCCATTTAACGCAGGTATATTTTTAAATTTTCTGTGACACAGATTGCATTCCACCGGCTTTGATTCTGTTTTGTTAGCAGAATTAATTGGGACCGAAGTGGAAGTTGTGGTGGTAATTTTTGTTGGCGTTGATCCACCAGTACTGGTTTTATTTGATAAACTACCTTGCGACTGTAACAAATCAGATGCATATAATTTCATTATCGACAGCAAACAAAAACAATGTAAATTAAGATTGGCAGTTTTTGAAAAACAAATTACCTACTAAAGTATTTGAGGAGAGTGATATCCACTATTTGCATAGTGACCCTGTAGTATACAGGGTGTAGCACCTAAGACCCCTCGGATCATTATTCAGTTACCTGTTAAATTTTGACGAAAAAAGTTGTAAAGTAAGGGGTATAACATGTTACATAAAAAAATAAGTATTTTTCAAGTACGCTCCAAATCAGTGGTTCCATTTAAAAAAAGGCAAGTTTGATACGCCACTGGAATAGAGCACGTTCCTGGTGTTCAAAAATATTTTAGAAACATACCGGCGGTGATTGCCTACAATTATGCTCTTAAGACTTTTTGCGGTATCTTTCATAGTAATGGAATTATGATCCGAGGGGTCTTAGATGCTACACCCTGTACATTCTGGAACGTTGCGATACATTTCAAGCAAAGGTGCGACACCAATTGGGTAACCGTAAACTACATTTGATCATGGAAATAATTTTTGTTAAAAACGGTCAACACATTATTCATTCATTTTTTTATCGGCGTGGGGTGCCTCAAGGGTCGGTTCTCGGACCCCTGCTATATTCGCTATATACATCTCAACTTGTGAGTTCTGTGACTAAGTGCTCAGTACATTCATACGCCGATGATATGCAAATTTATTATTCGTTTCACATGTCTGAGCTACCCAATGCTATTCATATCATTAATTCGGAACTATCGCTGCTCAATTCATTATCACGGAAGCTCAAGCTGAAAGCGAATCCACACAAATCGGTGTTTCTATTGTTTGGTAGTAAGAATAATGTTGCTAACTTAAATATGACTCCTTTAATTAAAATCGGTTCTTCCACAATTCGTATTTCCGACAAAGCTAAAAGCTTAGCGCTATGGTTGGATAATAGCTTTAGATATACAACCCAAATTAGCAATTATATTTCGCGTGCATACTCGCATTTGCGGATACTTTACGGGCAAAGATCTTTTCTCACCATTAAAACTAGAATAAGACTTTGTGAAGCATTTGTGTTGTCTCAGTTTAATTATTGTGTTCCTGTTTATCACCCATCCATAGATAAACTTACGTCTACTAGAATACAGAGAGTACAAAATTCATGTCTACGTTTTATCTACAGGGTGATTCCTATAGTACCTGCCACCGTTTGGGAGCGTATAGGGGGTGCCTAGGGGAAGTCTTTTCATATAGGACACTTGGGGTCGGAAATCCAAAATAACGGCGCCAGAACCAAATTTATCTTCTGGAATTTCACGCCTGTATGTAGGCAACCCAACCGACCGACGTTTCGCGCGGAGCGATGCAGAGCGAGTTAGCGCGAGGAAGCGACATGGGAGGGAAGGAGGGAAAACGACAGTCAAAAGCAATAACGTTTACAAGTGTTCAACGTGGCCACCGTTGTTCTCAATGCACTTCCTACATCTAGCCAACCACTCCCCTCGAACTCGCGTGAAGACTCCTATGTCCTGGCGAACAGCCTCTCCGGCCATGACGACGCGCGCAATTAAGTCCTCCTCGGATTCGACGGGAGTCTCGTAGACGTGCGCTTCCATCACACCCCACAAGTAAAAATCTAATGGGGTGATGACGGGCGAGCGGGCAGGCCACTCCACCGCACCTCCACGGCCGATCCATCTGTCCGGATAGGTTTGGTCCAAGTGTTCCCTCACCTGCCGCCCGTAGTGAGCAGGGCACCCATCGTGCTGGAACCAGTGGTCCCAGTACAAGTTCACTGGAACATCCATTAAAAGTTCTGGTAGCACCTCGCGCAGGAAAATCAGGTAATTATGGGCATTTACACGCGGAGGGAGGATGTAAGGCTCCAGTAGGTTGTCCCCCAGGATGCCAGCCCAAACGTTTAAAGAAAACTTGTCCTGGTATCCTCGCGTAAACGTTTCATGAGGATTGTGCTCCGCCCAGTAGTGGCTGTTACGAGGATTGAAGGTCCCCTCTCTTGAGAATCCTTTCTCGTCAGTAACTAGCACGCTCTCCTCAGAAAGTTCGGATTAGCTTCTTCCTCCTGGACGACTAAGTTGCAGAATTCCAGCCTCCTTTCATGGTCACCCGGCCGTAACTCTTGCACTTTCTTAAACTTATAGGGGTGTAAGTTGTTGTTTTTGGCGATGTTCCACACTGTGTGTTGACTACAACCCACCTGATCTGCTACAAGTCGAGTGCTAGTACGCGGGTTTGCCTCGAAACGTTCCAACACATCCTCCTCTAAGGCATTTACCAACGGGCGATCGCGATCACGGGCGCTAGTGGGCTGCGAAATAGGAGGAGGTCGGTGTAAACAAACAAACTTTTCGAAATGGGTGCTTAAATGACCCAAGTATCGATGTGCATCACGAATCTGTGTGTAAAGTTAAGCCTCCGTCAGCTTACCTGCAATTGCCCTGTCTCGCACAGTCGGAAGTGAACTTCTTGAAAGACCTGTCTGCAGGGTAACTGACGGTTTGGATACCGCTCAGCGTACGCTCGTCGTGCAGCTCGTGCGTTACCATTTGCCAATCCGTACATGAAGTGCATGTCCGCGTATTCCGTGTTAGTAAAACGTGCCATAGTGTTTATTCACTTGATACGCGTCGTTGCAGACGGGATTTCGTGGGTTTAAACAAAATTCTGATCAAGTGTCAGCCACACATCGCCGCCTGAGATCGCTCCGTGTGCACCGCCGCCGGTTGGGTTGCCTACCTACAGGCGCGAAATTCCAGAAGGTAAATTTGGCTCTGGCACCCTTATTTTAGATTTCCGACCCCAAGTGTCCTATATCAAAATACTCCCCTACGCACCACCTACACGCTCCCAAACGGTGGCAGGTACTATAGGAATCACCCTGTAGTAGGTATATGAGAATGAGAGTACAAAATTTAACTCATTTCCTTCAAAGGAGTGATCTACCAACTACAAAATCTATAAATAGTTCCTGTACATCAAGTCAATGGGTCTTGCCGTTTCCGCGACGAATTTGGTTAATTGAAAATTTTGCCCAAATTTGGACATCGCCATTCTTTTCATTAATAGAGGGGACCTATATCTATCAAACAAGAAATCAACGAGCTATCTACAACTTTGTGCACCTTTCAACCGAAGTCAATTTGCATTTCAATGTTATTGGAAATGGTTACCTACTATAGACCCGACCAACACACTCACACCGTGGTGAGAACTTTTAGTTGTTCAAGAACCCAGACTACACCAATTATTTCTCCGATTCGCCTTTTTTTGGGCTTCATTGACTGGCGTATTAAAGAAGAATGGGAAAAAGTAAATTTATTACAAAGTATAACCATTCAATGATATATACAAATAGCTGGTGATCTCAAACTGCAACAAGTCTATTTGTCTTACACAAGATGCGTTATGCCAGCCATATATTCAACATTGGAAAGGTATAACTCTAAACTACTCTTCATACATTCCGCAATAAACCGTACAAATAGACATACATCACCTCTATCCGCTAAGTTTAAGCTTTGATAGTACTTGTCTCTTTGATATTTAAATATCAATATTGGTGGATATCCAGTTCGCAACAACACCAAATTCATAATTAACCTACTTATGCGACCATTACCATCCATGAATGGATGAATGTCTACTAATTTGTAATGTGCCAACGCTGCATACTTAACTGGATGTAAACTGTGGGCCGCATCTGAATTTAACCAGTATGCGTAACCCTCAAGTAGGAAAGGTACATCTTCTGGTTCTGGAGGAACGTGACTTCCAACAAAGACCTGCTCTCGTCGTAATTTCCCAGCAGATACAGGATCGACATGACCCAGAACTCGACTGTGTACTGCCTGTATTTCTTTGGTACTAATTGTGGGATACCTAATCAATAATTTGACATAGTTCATTGCCAACTCAACACCCAAAATCTCATTGTGCTCTATCAAACTTTTTCCTTGGACAGCCAGTCCGGTTTCTAACAAGGAGACTATTTGGTCCAGTGTTAAAGTATTCCCTTCAAGTCCAACGGTGTGGTAAATCTGTAAATAATACATTTTCCTTTTCATAGCACTGTAAACGGCGCTAGTTTTTTGCCGTTCCTGTAAAAGATTTCGTTTTTTGTCAATTAACGCCAACATCTCTAAATCCAATTTTTCAACTATAGGGGCACTTCGCTTTCGATTATCCAATGCACCTTTATGATTTGGACAGTACGTTAATGCTTTATAATACAATAGATCTGCCGCGACAATATCATTGTGCACATGTTCGATAAATTCCCCATACCGGTTTAATACATCAGGACTTTGTAGGGCAACTGACGTAGCACGATCCAAAAGCTTAGCCGCCTTTCCAACGTTTCCAGATAATTTAAATGCTAAAGCGGCTTCTAACAAATGCAGCATTTCAGTGTACGTTACGAAATGTTTATTTCTCAAAGTCACTAGGCCATCACTTGCCACTCTTTTTAACAAATGTGAAACCTCCGACTTGTTGGCATAATCGATAACCATCATATCTTCAAGGATGCTAGGGGCCTCAACGCATCCTTTTATATAAATAAAACGGTTGTAAATAGCTTGTAGTAAAATTGCGAGAACACAAACTATTCCGATTAATAAACAAATTATAAGACTGATAATTGTCATGTTATTATCATTAAACTATTCTCACTTAGTGCAGCTATAGTAATTTATTATTGCGCATTCTTTAAGACATCAACAGAAAGATTTGAACTCGGATTTTAATGTATAAAAGCTTCGAGAACTTTCTGTCATTTAAGTATAAAATCATATGTAACCTTAGATCATTGTTTAAATACTTTATTAAACAATGCTTAAATCATGTATGATTATATCTTAGATCATGTTAATACAATTTTATGATCTAGCTAAGGATTATGTAACACCCAAAACGTTAAATGTAAGGTTAGGATCACTTTGAAAGCGAATCTTCATCAGGCCGAATTCTACAGAGCGATCATAAAAGGGTATACTATGCGATCAAAAATGAGTTGCTGTCGAGTCGTCTGTGAAATTTTTGTTTACATGAAAAATCGTCTTTAATAAAGTCACTAAATATAGTGACTTTAGTCTTTAACTTGAACTTCCAAAGGCGACTCGACGCCTCGACAGCACCTCATTTTTGATCGCCCGTTACTTCCCGTTTTTATGAAATAATTCGCGATTCAGATTAACACTAGGTCAAGGTTAGTCTTTCTACTAACCTTGAGAGGCGGTCAAGGTTAGTTCTACCATTGAATAAGTAATTATTACTTATTCAATGCTTCTACTAACCTTGTCGTTGTCGCCACTGTTCTAATTCTAAGTTAAATCACTGTAGCGTAGACATGTTTCCCCACGAACTTATATCAGTGGGTTTCCCTCTCTTTCCCCTTCTAAAAAGTCGCGCGTTTGTCAGATCTCATAAATGTGTGTTTTATGATAAGTTGTATAAGTATGCACGGTGAAACATTTCAATAATATGGTTATTTACGATGATATGACTCATTCCTAACAATGGGCCAATGAGGGGACAACGCGCACTACCTACTACACTAAACTGCTCACGCTGCGACACTGAATCGAGAAGGCTAAACCTTTCAGGAGAAATTGGAAAAACATCAGATATTGAGATAACAACAGAGGAGAAAATGACCATCCATTCCGTCCATCCATTCAACCACGGTTGAAACTATGTCTGTGTTTAAAGATCCAATGTCCTCGGTTTGTCGGTGGCGGTAAAAAAAGCTTGGTTTTTCACAATTCTTAGCTTTTGTTTTCGCAGTAATGGCCCTTCTTGCTAATTGCTATGCAGATACCTCTGTTTGTATGCATGATAAATACACTTAAGGTGGGTTCATAGCTCTCCGTTCATCCGTTGCGTTGATCCGTCAAACGGATAGTACATATTTTGTTAAGGTTCATAGCAATCCGTCCACATTGTACATTTGCAACGTATAACCATAACCTAAATTTTATATTGTACTGTACCCTCCGTGATTTTCAGTATGAAAAAATGGTACGAAAATAAGAACACGTTGCTATCTGAATATCACCGTGAAGAACGAATAGGCGAACACTGTTAACGTACCAAACATAACCTCACTCTTGTTAAAAACGGACCAACGGAAACGTAAATGTTCAACTTCAACCAGCTTTTCCGTCGTAAACGGACGACATACGATTTAAAAATTTGCTGTCTTCTGATTGGCTAACGGACAAACGGAAACGTATGAACGGAGAGCTATGAACTTACCTTAAGGGAGGACGCAAACGGATTGCGGAGTAGAGGAAAAATCATGTTTTCATAATCAACTCAGTTTTGAGTGCACGAACTGCACCCTCAAAAGTCCTAAATTTTCCGTTTATTATTCTCCTCACTGTCTTGTTCCAACTTTGTAGGTATGTCTTGTACAATTTGCAAACATTCTCTCAAAATTTAAAGGTAAAAACGACGAATCCAAACTTAAGGTTTTTGAAGCTAGGCCAATAACATGTTCTATTGCCATTTGCACAAATTCGTAAATTTTAATACTTAACAACAACATTACTGTTGTGTGCAAAGGACTCTACCTACTATCATATACAGAACAGACTGGTGCCAAGGGAGAAGAGTCGTGTCTAAAAGTTCTGATGGTTGTAGGAGGATGGTAGCAAGAATAGTAGGATCTCTTTTAAAATACGCAAGCAAATGGCACAAGTCAAGATGAGTAGCATAAATCAGTTGTACTTGCTGCTTAACGCAGCTCTTTTGGCATCATCGTCGTTTTCTGAGTGCCATTTCGGGTTTCCGTGGTTGAATGCTTTCGAGTTTAAACACCATATTTCCAATGTCCAACATAGTATTTTTAATAAGATTTTGAATGACATTGGACTTTAAATTTCGAGTTTCAAGACGAAAGCCGCACATTTTCCTGGTACCGAATTGATCTGCTGGAATTGAATTCCCAGTCTCCACACTTTTAAGTTTCGTGTTAAAATCATCATCATTATTGCAATTAGTGTTTGAACCACTTGAAAAATTACAAAGTCACAAGAAATGAATTACCTGAATCTATTTAGTACAACTCATTTTATAACAACATACTCTACCATAATATATTCTGATACTATTTTTACAAAAGCGTCGAGTACACGTTATTTTGACTTGTAACTGATATATGGGCGCACTGAATGTAACGTTCCACACGGGCAAATATCCAACAATCCCATCACATCGTACATATTAAGAGATATCATCCAAATTCGATTGGCCACAATTCCTTTTAGGCAAGGTTTGCAAGTGGTACACATTTGACTTTTGATGCGTGCATGATCTTCAAACGTCTTCTTCAGGTGCTTCATTTTTAGCTCTGAAAATGCCTTGGAATTAATCGCCGATGTATCTGAGAATGAAAATTTTGCGCTTGACATTTTGCACGCCGTCAAAGTTGTTTGTATAGTTTTTGAAACAACGCACACTGTTCAGGGCACTGGATAGAATGTTAGTATTGTCCGTTGGAGCGGCGTGTGTTTTGCAGCTCTGTTTCATACTTAAAAACCAACTACCAGAACATTGTGGCCGCTTGATAAGTTTATTGAATACCGTAATATGTACCTATGTTTAGGGTTACCTACCGCTGTTCCTTACAGATTTATCTATTTTCTCATTTCCTAAAATGGCATTTACCTAAGATTTTGTTTATGTTGCAATTGTCGTTATCGAGGGTGCTATGTAACGTGAGAACTGCTGACTTCGTAGGAAATTACTCGACGTTGAGTTATTAATGTCAAGGATCTGATTGGACGAAAAAAATAGTTTTTATTGGTGAAAAAGACCCGTTCCGTCCAGGAATGGGTGTCGATAAAAAAGAAAAAGTACTGGGAAATTGATTATTCGGGTCCAACCGTTAGACAATTAGCGCGAAGCTGTCAGCGAAATTAAGTCGTTCAACCGTAAATCGTTATGGGGTGGGTTTTAATTTTGTGCGTTGCGCCGTGAGCGAAGTAAATTTAACCACCTGTAATTCATCGTAGGGTGGATTTATTTTGTGTTATTCTAGTTTGCGTCATGCCGCCAGTGCAAAGGATATAAATTTCGGCTTCGAAACTATTACGTTAAATAAGACCAATAGTGGAAGTTTTTTAACCCAACCCACAAAGTACTAAAATCGTTATATCGTATATACACCGTGTCCAAGTTAAGGATGTCTATTATGGGGATCTCGGACACCATAGAAAATACGACGATGATTAAATTATGGAAACGTTCCGAAATTAAACAATATGCTGTAAAAGAAAATCAGAAAATTTCCATTACTTCTGAAGATGTGCAAGAAAAACCGAAATTTGTCGGTGTCATACGTATGTTTTCCTAATGTTATTTGAACACATACAGAAAAATAAAAAAGCACTTTCTCTTTGTCCATTTTTGAGCTCTACAAAACAGCCTTGAAAGATTTTTAATACAACGTTTCGTCACAAGGATATACTGTGGTTTCGATTCGGAGATCATCAACCTCGTCATCAACTTTATTTTTCTACGTGACCCATCAAAAAAGTACATACTGTACAGAGTACGAATACAACCATGTACGGTACGAAAGAAACAAAAGTTGGAAACTGTTGGTTTCAACAGGATCGTGCATCCGTGCACAACGCAAAAAAATAAAATCGGCAAATTTCGGTTTTATTGGCATATCTTATCGGAAGTAATCGGACTTTTCTGGCTTTCAATAACGGTAACTGAATGTATGAGCATTTCACGAAATCTCTAGAAATGAGCAGGCAAAGTGCGAACTCGAGCTCCATTTCTTACTATGCCTGCTGCATTGGCCATTTCTTAAAATGCATAGAGTTTGTCAAGTTTGCCTCTACAGTGCGTAAATTTTAACTCTGAACATACAAGTCTCCTGCATATAATGTTAAATTTTAAAGTATACCATGTCAAACGTGAAATGTCCTTAAAATATGCAAGCAATCTTTTTCAAATATTTTTCAATAAACGTCAATATGTAATGTATTTATTAAATTAAGATCAACATTTTTATACCGGCAATGAAATAAATCCCTTTTTTTAAAGAAATTCTGTAAAATTTTTAAAAATCGTCTGGCTTATTGTTTAGAACAAAGCGGAAGTCACCTTGAACATCTCTTGTAAGATTTTTTTGTCCACGTTGTGTAGTAATCTAATTCTTTATCGTTGTGTTACACAGTAATTCGAAAGTTTGACAATTCACAGCAAATTAGTAAAATAACTGGAAAATCTCACTTTGAGTTTGCTCTTAGATCATATATGTATGATCTAAGAGTCTGCTAAACAAATCGACCGAATATATATCTAGTGTGCAAGTTGTGCTGCATAACTGACAGGGGTATCAATATTGCATATTTTAGAATTGATCATAAAGAGTTTTTTATGCCAGAGATTTGATGTTCAAACATTAATTATATACTGTGTATAATCAATGGTTCAGAGCGTTGGGTGAAGGTCACTCAACGTTCAGAGTTAAAATTTGCGCACTGTATATCGC